CAGATTATGCAAATATGGGGACAAGAAGAGAGGAGAGCAGAGCAGAGGAGACATGAAATCCTCCTTGCAACCATTTTCTTCTTGTTGCATCACCCTTCACACCACACTGGTGGGACACGAATTTAAAGCCTTAATTTCCTTGTAGACTAATGATAATTTATTTAATTGTACTAGTCCAATACTTAATATTTCTTCTGACAGCAGATTGCACATGACATATGCAATTTGATTTAAATAAAAAAATTGTCTTAAACGTTTTTTATTTAAATAAAAGGGGAAGGAGGAAAGATATACAAAAAAAGAGTATGGATTTCTGAAACAGGTTCGAAACAGGTTCAAAACAGGTACAAACAGTTATTGTTTAAAAACCTGCCTTTTTGGAAACTTGACACTGGTCAGCCTTGTTTTCTTGTATTGTGTTGGTCTAGAGATAGCACAACAAAATGTACTTGATATACCCTAGAACATGCTAGTTAGTAAAATATGGGGGTACTTGCTGTTCTTTTATGATGGAACTGTTTCCATTCAATTAACAGGCAGCTTGTCACTGACAAGGACATCGTGGACTCTATGTTCATAATCACGATTCTTGTTAAATTTCTAGAAAGGAGGAGAGGAAGTAGAGAGGAAACAAAGCTACACTGTCATAAAATAAGGAACTAGCTAAGCATCTGCATTTCTGAAACAAGAAGTCTCTTTCTTCTGTAAACTTAAAACTTTGTTTACCATGTGTGGGTCTTTGAAAGAGCAGTATGGAAAGTCCAGGTTGGATGGGGCTTTGAGCAACCTGGTTTGGTGGAAGGTGACCCTGCCCACAGCAGAGGGGTTGGAACTAGATGATCTTTAACATCTCTTCCAACCCAAACCACTCTATGATTCTATGACAGTATGAGGCTAGATAAAGAGATGCTCAAGGGAACATAAAAATAAGAGTCACAGCCAATAATCTGAAAACATTTAAGGACAACCACAGACTTAATCTCTTGTTCTGCCACACTACCTCCACTGCCAGTATTCCATACTTTTTGTCAAAAAGAAGTATGGGGGTTCCTAGTCCTTCACAGGAGCCTGCCAGCTTAAGGTGGCTTCAACCTATCTGGGACAAACATGCCAGCAACTGAGGTACACCAGGCATCCCAGGAACTCCACCTTGTGCTCTTGAAAAGAGTCGATCTCTGGGGGCTGGTATGGAATTACCACTGCTGCAAGTGACTAAGGCTTCCCTGGCATTCCTGTTGTGCCTGTTGAGCGCTGGAGGACATGAAGATGCCAAGAATGCCACTACCCAGTTATCAAGAAGGCTCTGCAGCACATTGTACAAAATGATGGAGGTGGTCAGAGACAGGAGAGACCAAAAGGTATCACAAGATCCTCATAGTACCTGTATCTGGTTCAGAAAGCAGTTTTCTGCTCGTACCCTTCCAGCATGCAGGAAGTGCAGAGCTTGTTAGAATTTGCCAACTTCTTTTGTTGATTCATAAGAGGGTTTTCCAGCATCATGGCTCTCATAACAGCATCTACTTGAAAGGGGCCTCACTTCCTATGGGCATGAGAAGCATATGCAGCTCCTGAGGGACAGTCATTCACCACAGCTTGCGTTACTGTCCTGCTGAGGTCTTGGCTGGGATTTCATTATGGAAGCAAATGTCTCTGGGTCATAGGGTCATACTCTCCTAGAATCTGATCCAAAGCAGGAGTCATGACCCTATGTTTTTTTTCCTCTGGGCAGATCACTCCCACAAATAGGAATTATGACATCCAAGATAAACAGCACCTGAAAATCAAAGTTGCCTCTGAGGAGTGGTAGCACACTCTTGAGGCAGCAGCAGAACCAACAGTGGTGCTGACCTATCCTCAGAATACAACTGAGGGATCAGCTGCTGCTCTCCTCACCTTGTCTGATAGACTTCCCTCTCTCCATAATTTAATTGTCCATTAACTGTCACTAACTTTGGTTTCCAACCTAGAAGTCTGCCAGCCCCAGCAGCTGCCTCATATGTGCCTGCACCAAGTGACTGTCAAAGCAGGCAGTCTGTTGATGCAACTGACAACACAGTTGCCATTTCCACCACAATAAAGCAACTGCATTTTCCCCATCTGTGTTCTCATTCTTGGGCTGAGTGAGGTGGGTGGTGCCTGTGTCCATATCCCCCTCTTCTGTGGACAGTATGGAAGGTAGAGCAAAACATGACGGAGATCTTCCAAAGGTCTACCTATGCTCTTCCTGGCAGAGACAGGTGCTTCTCCAGTGACAGGGCAGCCTGGTAGACTGCCCAAGCTCTAGGGTAGGCCAGTCCTAGCCGTTTAATTTTGAGGGTCACAGACAGACAGACAGACAGACAGACAGAGACCTTAAAGGGCCCTAAGGGGCTTGCTCTTCAGACCTATTTTCCAGAGTCAACTGATTTATGTATTTAGTGGCCAGCTACTCTCCCTGATGGAGCTCCAGCATTTCAGTGTGCCAGGTCACTGCACAGTTGTGGTCCCTCCAAAAACTGCTTCGAAGCAGTAAGTCATCTCTTTTTGGACCACAGGGCCATTGTCTTCTGCATGGTCACAATCCACTCACAGGTTGCTCTGGGAGATTGCTGCTGCTGAGTACCTAATGTCCCTTAGCATATACAGCACCCTGATAGGCTGTAACGATTAGCCACATCTAACAAATAAATCCCAGTACAATTGCACACTCCCCATTGAATGGTTCTGCGACCACTCAGTAACCACAGAACCATAGAATGCTTTGGTTGGAATGGACATTTAAAGATCATTTAGTCCAACCCTTCTGCCATGGGCAGGGACATCTCTTACTGAGGTTTCTCAAGACGGGGAGCAAGAGATCTTGAAGCAGCCTGCAGTGCTGTGTCATACCTCTACATACTGCAGGAATCTGAGGTTAACCTGCAGACGATGGGGAGCCTGAAGGTCAGGCTCCATCATAGTCAGCCTAGGACTTGAGGCAGCCCGTGCTACCTGCCACAAAGCAGCAAGACTGGGGCTGCTCTGCAAGGGATGACAGTGAAAAGCTGGAGGAGATCACATCACAGGACAGTGATCTCACCAACCAGGGCACAGCACCCAAATAGGGCAGTCTGGTGACAGTAGCAGCTGTTGACAGTCCCAGGGATCACCAGGTAAATGTGAGATGGCAGGTCAAGTCTAAGTGCAATCCATGAAATCCAGTGAACAGAAGCTGCAGGGTACAGCGTTAGCCACATGCCTGCCAGCAGCACAGCTCAGGAAAGGGCCGGAGGCCAAGGCCGGAGTAGAAATGGAGCTACCCCTTGCAGCTATGCTGGTGAGGTGTACTGGCATGTTAGCTTAGGCTCTAGGTTAACTCCAGTGTAATCAGGAGAGAACAATGTAACACAAACATCGCCCCAGCGATCTTGCACCTTCTCACTGGAGCTTAAAACCCAGACCAAACGTGCCTTGAGGGCATTCATCTGACCACAGATTATCTTCACACTGTCTCTCCAGGTCCTTCAGTCACCCATTGCTACACCCATCCTGAAAAAGTTGCACAAAGATTTAGGAAAACTTTTAAGGGTTGAGGAAGGAGAAGAAATGCAGGAACAAGCAAGAAAGATGACAGAATTCAGGCTTGCCAGTTCTGACATAAACAGAAACACTGGAAATAGGGCCTGTGATGCCACCTGCTCCCACTCCATAACGAATAAGAATTATAGTATCCCAACTTCCTGATTAAAGAAAAGGACAAACTTTGTTTGTGGATTTTTGTTTGTTTTACTTCAAATAAAGGCCTTAGAATTATACTAAGACCTGGATGGCAGTCCTAAGTAACAGAAAGAATGGTCTCTCTGTTCTGAAGTACTAAATGCAGAAATGCCCAAAACTACCTTAAATAGAAATTGCAGATTGCAAATTGTATTTCATTTCAGATACAAATTGTATTTTATAGATAACACTGGATTTCAAAGAATAAGGGAACTGCAGTTACTCAATCTATTTTCAAACTTAAAATTCAACTGTGCGGATTATGTAAGTATGTCATAAACAAACAGAACAACCAACTAATAAAGATGTTCTAGAAGAGAGGCAGATGGAAAAAAAAAATAAATGAAGATATTCCTTCCCCCAGACCAGCTATTACACTTGGGAGGAAAAAAACCAAACACATTACTGTCACATGTGCACTCACTGCATTAGGAGAGCCTCAAGTTACCACTAAATAAGGCAAAATAAAATGTCTTTATTGCCCGTTCCAGATTAGGACCTTTTTAAGAGTGTGCTGCTGTTAAAAATGAAATGTTAAATATAGGGGATATCATTTCAGTCTCTACAAACCAGAAACTCTCAAAGTAAAACTACATCTTTAAGCACTGCAGATATCGAAGAAACAGAATATCAGCACTAACGTTTTTGCCTGAGGTAGTCTGATATCCTTGCTGTTACTCTAGTCTCAACTTCCTTCTGCTCACACACTTGGATGCTTTTTTATGACACCCAGTGTAACTACATGATGCAATTTCACAAGTACAGTAAAAGGTTAATCATTTTAAAGCCATACCATTCATATCTCTAACAGTGTTCATTTTTTAAAACGCGCAGCTGGTTGGACTGTGCAATTCTCTCCTTAAGTCGGCTAAGACAACTCTTTAGGAATTACTGATGAACATTTTAAATACATAAAGCTGTGCCTGTCTTATCTGTACAGATCTACATTTTGGAAATTGAGTCAGCCACACCATACCATATAGTAATAAAGTAAAACATGCAGTAATTTCCTGGTAAGTTACTGTCATTTAACAATGCATTTTTCCAAGGCACAGTACACAAAAGAACTCCTGCAATGGCAGATCAATGTACCACATGAAAATTTTAACCTTCTAATGAGACAGTGCGACATGTTTTGCTCATTCTTCGTGTCAAGTGACATAAGGCAGCATAAGCAGCACAATGAGGAAATTCAGACATCCCTGGTTCTTCATCATAGTCACAATGAATACTGGTCGTCTACACAAATGAGAGATACAAAGTTGTAAAATATAGGAATATAATTTTATTCTGTTAATTTGCAAATGTATTGGTACAGCTGTTCTGAGAAAGCTTCTGAGGAAAATTTTTCCATAACTCTCACTCTCCCAGCTGCTCCCATTGCGTCCTTTAAGATAGGATCTCTCACAATTTTTTCCATTGCTTCAGCGAATTGGGTTGGTTGAGGATCACACAAAAATCCTGTAACACTATGCAAGATTGATTCTAAAGGACCACCTGAATTAACTGCTATAACTGGACATCTCATATACATTGCCTCCAAAGGGACAATACCAAAATGTTCATTGCTTGGTGTATAAAGCACACACACACAGTTACTAAAAAGGGAGACTTTCTGTTCATCTGAGAATGATCTCAGAAAAGTCACATGCTCATTAACACCAAGCTTGGCTGCAAGTCTCCTCAGCTCTTCGTAGTGCTCCACATTTTCCAGAACTCGTTTATCATAACCACCTGCCATAACCAGGTGAACTTCATTCCACTCATGAGAATCAAGTCTTCCTCGAAGTTCATGCAAAGCTTCAAGAGCCAATGCTAGATTCTTTTTTCTCTCATACCTATTAATGGAAAGAAACAAGAACTTTTTCTTTTTCGGTATCAGGTCAACTATGTCTGCAGGAACGATTGTTTCAAAGCTATTGATGTTGAGTGATGGGTAGAGGACATCTGGGTTTATGTGAGACAGGGACTTAAATGTGTCTTTGAACACGCTGGCAGTAAACTTGCTGTTCACAACAATACAGTCTGCCATGCCAGTCGTGTACTCTTCCAGCCAGTCGAGTGGCCATCTGTAGAGACGCTTCAGGAAAGATTCTCTCTTGGTCAGAAGCTGGTCAGGAAAGTGACAGTAAAACAAAACCTTCTTACGGGTTCTGGCCAGTCTAAGTATGGGAATGCAAGCAGACACCTAATGCAACCAGAAGAGACAGGACAAGAGGAGATGTTAATTATTTGTGTTAGTGCCACCGGAGCGTACACGTGATTTCAAAGCCACACCCTGAGGGTCAGTCCTTTGCAAGCCAAGTGCCTTCTCCCCCTCTCTTCCACAAGCACTCTCTCACCCAGGACCTCTTGTTGAGGCCCTAGATCTCCTTTCTCACAAAGACAAGGAACCCTGCTCCCCACCCAGGCCCCACCAAGCCTCAGGACTTCTCCATGAACTTCTTCCCTGCCACTACCACAGGAGATGGGAATGGAGCCCAAGCTGCAGCAGCATCCTCCCTTCAGCTGCCCTAGAATGCAAGAGTGTTGCAAAATGTGGAATATGTCAAGATTATCTTAGGTGAGGACATTCTTTGATGTACAGTCTTTGTATACTCTCAAGGCTAATCAGAAAGAATGGAGACCTAATCAGAGTAACAGGCAGAAGCCAGCATCCCTTAGCGCAAAGACATCCCGGAACGAACAAGCTTTATGGATGTAGTAAATCAAGATGTTGCAGGAGAATAGAACAGATAGCAGCTAGCATCCCTTACGCAAGGACATCCCGGAACTAACAAGCCTTAAAGCTGTAGTAAATCAGGATGTTCATGTATGTCTATGTCATTGTCATTGTTATGTTTATGTCATTGCTAACGTGGCAAAATTCTCAAGGTCTTATCGCTGAACTATTATGTTCATTATAATACTAAAAATCATGCCTACAAGACAAAAAGATCCCTACCCAGGTGAAGATCCTTTCCCTGAGCATATGTAGAAGTTAGCTGGGGTTATGTAACTTGTATGGAATCACAGAATCAATTAGGCTGGAAAAGACCTCTGAGATCATCGACTCCAACCTATGACTGAATACCACCATGTCAACTAGACCATGGTACTGAGTGCCACATCCTGTCTTTCCTTAAACACCTCCAGTTACCTCTCCAGGCAGTCCATTCCAATGTCTAATCACCCTTTCTGGGAAGAAATTCTTCGTAATGTCCAACTCAAACCTCCCCTGGTGCAGCTTAGGACTATGCCTTCTCATCCTGTCGCTTGCTGCCTGTGAGAACAGGCTGATGCCCAGCTGGCTACAACCTCCTTTCAGGTAGGTGTAGAGAGTGATAAGATCACCCCTGTGCCTCTTTTTCTCCAGGCTAAACACGCCCAGCTCCCTCAGCTGCTCCTCACAGGACTTGTGCTCCAGACCCTTCACCAGCTTCGCTGTCCTTCTCTGGAAATTACAAACCAATCATAACTGAGAGGCTGCACTTGGAAAGTGACTAACTGAATCTCTGTATAAATAATGGTGAGGAAAGCCCAGTGGGATGATCTTGATTTGTGGAACACCACTAAGCAGCCAGCCTTGCACAACTCTGAAATAAACAATCAATGTCTTTCTCTCTCTCTCGTGTCTAATTATTGGCTTGTTGCACACCACGTAACGAATACGATTTTGTAGGGATTTGATGCTCCAGAGGTCTGGAGCATCTGTCTTACAAGGAGAGACTGAGTGCCGATCTCATTAATGCATATAAATATCTCCAGGGCAGATGCCAAGAGGACAGTGCCAGGCTCTTTTCAGAGGTGCCCAGCGACAGGATGAGGAGCAATAGCCACAAATCAAAACACAAAAAGTTCCACCTCAGGACGAGGAAGAAATTCTCTACGCTGAGAGTGGCAGAGCACTGGAACAGGCTGCCCAGGGAGCTCATGGAGTCTCCCTCTCTGGGGGGCATTCACCAACCCATCTGGACTCATTCCTGTGGGTCGCCTGCTCTAGGTGACCCTGCCTGGGCAGGGGTGTTGGACACGGTGATCTCCAGAGGTCCCCTCCAACGCTAAGAATTCTATGACACTGTGAACAATCTGCCGGGCCTGCGGCGGCGGCGCGCCCGTGCCCGCGCCCGTGCCCGCACCTGGTCGCAGACGAAGGCGTCGCAGCTCTCCCCGCTGAGCAGCAGCACGTACAGCGCCAGGCAGGCCATGCGCAGGGCGGCGCACAGGGCGTGCCCGCGGCCGCACAGGGAGCGCGGCACCCAGCCGCCCGCGCTGCGCACCGCCAGCCCCCGCGTCTCCGCGAAGCAGCGCCCGGGGTCGTAGTGCGCCGTCCAAATCTGCACCCGGCAGCCCCGCGCCCGCAGCGCCAGCGCCGCGTCCACCACCAGCCGCTCCGCGCCGCCCAGGCCCAGGTCCGGGTGCAGGAACAGCACGGACGGGCCTTCCCCGCCCGCCTCCTCTTCCTCCATGGCGCTGCCGGGCGGATGGGATCGCATGCGCAGCCCGGCAGTCCCGGCGGGACACGTCAGCCTTCCTGCCGGGCCTTCGCGCCCGCCCCGCCCGCCGGGCGCCCGCGGCGCTGCCTGGCCCGTCGCTCCGCTCGGTCTCGCTCCGGTCCGGCCGCTGCGGGACAGCGGGCGCAGCCGAGCCGTGGCGCGGGGGCAGCGCGCTCGGGAAGCTGCAGCTGAGAGAGGGGGAGAGGGATAAGGGTCCGGTGCTGCTCAGGCATTATCCTGGGAAGCCGCGCGGTGCCGGGATGCGCGGCGCGGGGGCGGAGCCTGAAGCGGGCAGGGACGTGGCCAGATCTGCCGTAGCGGAGCGTGTGTGAGACCGCGCCGACCCCGAGCCAGCGCCGCAGCCATGGTGAGGGGCTGCCCGAGGCGGGGGGCGGCTGGGGCGCTCCTGCTCCCCTGGCTGTGCCTGCCGCCTCTCACCCTCTCCCGGTTCTTTCCTCTCTCCGCAGCCCGGGCCCAACCCCAGCGCCACCAGCGTCGGCTCCTCCGGCCGCTCCCCCAGCAAGGCAGTGGCTCCCCGCGCCGCGGGATCCACCGTCCGGCAGAGGTGGGTGCCCGCCGCGTCTCCGTAGTGGGGGCAGCTCTGCCCTCCGTCGTGCCCTCTGCTTTCCTGGCTGCTCGGGCTGGTGCCCTCTGCTTACGTGGTAGCACAGACTGATGCAAGTCCAGAGGTGGGCAACGGAGCTGGTGAAGGGTCTGGAGCACAAGTCCTATGAGGAGCAGCTGAGGGACCTGGGGTTGTTTAGCCTGGAGAAAAGGAGGCTCAGGGATGACATCGCTCTCTACACCTACCTGAAAGGAGGTTGTAGCCACGTGGGGATCGGCCTGTTCTTCCATGCCATGAGCGACAGGATGAGAAGGCATAGTCCTAAGTTGCACCAGGGAAAGTTTAGGTTGGACATTAGGAAGAATTTCTTCACAGGGCTATTAGACGTTGGAATGGGCTGCCCAGGGAGGTGGTGGAGTCACCGTCCTTGGAGGTGTTTAAGGATAGACAGGATGTGGCACTCAGTGCCATGGTCTAGTTGACATGGTGGTGTTTAGTCATAGGTTGGGCTGGATGATCTCAGAGGTCACTTCCAACCTAAATGATTTGTGAAGTGTCTTGCTTCTGGAGAGTTCTCTTTGGGATGCCTGGTGCTAGAAGCTGGCAGGCTGCTAATATGTTTTGTTCAGTCTTTGTTTCATTCTGTTGTCCCTTAAAGGAAGAATGCCAGCTGTGGGACAAGGAGTGCAGGCCGTGCCACGTCCACAGGTACTGGTGGGATGTGGCGATTCTACACTGAGGACTCACCGGGGCTCAAAGTGTAAGTTGGATTAATGTGTGGTGGCAGGCACAGGGTCTGTAGAGTTCTTCTGTTTATATAATCTTTCAGTCTGTGAATTATTAATAAACTATCAGTATCCTGGTGTGCGTGGGAAAACATGCTGAATTGATGGCTGGGTTGACACATTTTATTTATTGTGTAAACCTGGAGAAGTACTTTTTAAATTTATACTGGTTTGAAAAAGGTAGGTACAAGTTACATTTTGTAATTGCCTAGGCTTACTTTAAGTGGTCTTTGAAGACTGCAAAGTTGCAGTCTTTGAAGTTGAAAACTTAGGCATCTGTGTGCATGTTTTTGTTCTCTTTTAATTAAAATTTTGGGGTTTTCTTTATTAGTAGCTATATTGTGATCCTCTGCACCCATTTGAAAATACAGTATAACTGATATGCTGTATGGTTGCATAATCTCAGGTGTCTCTATTAAAAAGCTGCAGATAAGACAACTTTAGCTAAGCTTGCAAAGCAAATAGCATTCCGATACCTTGTATATAATTGTTTTTACAAGATAATATTCCAAGATTATGGTCAAATATCTGGTGTTGTCCCTTAAGCTCTAAAGAGAGCCTAAGTTTTTACTTTTTGGGCATTTCTAGTCATTCAGGTCAGTTTCCCAAACAAACTTTGCAGCCTAATACTTGGGTAACAAAGGTGGAAGGTGTATTTCACCTGATGAGTGCACGCTAAGTCCTACCCTGAGTGGGAACTTTTGCTTCTTGTAGAGTGATACTTCATGGCCTCTTGTTCTTACTGGGTTGAGGAATCTCAAGACACTCAGGGCTGTTTCTTGTTTTGTTTTGTTTTGTTTTGTTTTTTTTCACAAATCCATTAGCATTTACTTTTGGAGCTCTTTAAGGACTTCTGCTGGCTGCAGAAACAGAACATTTGGGTAAGGGTTGGCGATAGTCTAGTTAATGATAGTTCCATGAGTAATCCTTCTTTTGAAGTTATGTGTTTTCATATGTGCTTGTCACTTTAAAAGCCAAAACCTATACAATAAACAAAGTAGTGAGGTTGTCTTGCTTTCTCCATTCTGAACCCAGAGAGGAGACAAGGCAAAGAAAAGAAAAAGACAGTGAGCAGCAATAGTGTTCTAGAGCAAATCTGTGCAGATAGGAAGGGCAACTACTTTCTGTGTTATTTGGTCTACTAAAGCTCAATTTAAAAAATGAGTGAAACCAAACTGAGAAAAAAACAGAAGGGGGCTACCATTAGGTAGATTTTTAAAAAAAAGATGTGTGATGCAAACTGTCAAAGCACCTTTAACAATTTTGATAAGTTTCCTTGTGAATCCTTTGGTTTCCCTTTTGATATTGAATGACCAATGAGTTTAGTGGTCATTCACCATCAACTTGAATTCTACATCAAGTTGCTTGTACTGAGTTTGCACTCAAGCTCAGTACAAGCAGGTCAGTAGATAGATTTTCCCATCTATTTGTGTTGCAATACATTGGTTTTCAGTTTTAAGGCTTTGGAACACTGGGAGTGTTTCTTGGGGTTTTTTTTGGAAGCTGCTGTGGGTAGCTGCATGGTCAGGCTTTTAGTGGAAGAATTAAAAGTAAAAGTGAGTTGGTTTTACAAATCACTTGCACATTAGAAGTAACATTTTCTGAGCCGTGTCTTGGGAGCAACTTTCTTGCTTACAGCTTTCCATGTATTTTTCTGTAGGTTTTTTTCCATAGCAACCAATTGTTATGATCTCTGTCCTATTTAGTAGGCTTCAAGATGAAAATGGCCTGTAGTGGGGTTGTGTTTGCCTCAGGAAAGTGCTTCAGCTGAAGTTGTTTTTAAAAATGGCTGGGATCACTACTGCATGATGTAATGTGAAAGCTTAGCCTGATAGTGGTGAGTGGTTGGTGTTTTTTTAAATTTTGTTTAAAATATGAGGTCCTTACTATGAAAAAATACATAATCCACCTGAGAACAGGTTAATTCATACTAGCTAAGAATTTCTAGAAAAAAAAAGTTCTATATTTCATATTTTGCATAATTATACTGATGCTTCAGTTATTTATTATCTGTATTCAACATCCAAAACAGTAAATATGTTGAATAGGCAAATTGGTTTGGCCTCAGGAAAGATCATTTCTCTGTAGTACAGGATGCTATAAAATGTATGTCTTCAAAAGCAGTATTAGCAAAAGGGAGTTGTGGAGTGTCTGGATGAGAGTGGGATATGACATTTTTCTCTTTAAAGCTCAGATCAAGCATCATAGGCTCTGGAAAGAAAACTAAACCCAAACTTTTTGCTCTTTTTGTGGCACTTGGTACTTGTTTTCCTGTATCTTGTTGTGAGCTTTCTTGCATAAAGAGGTACAGACAGTGTATCCTGTGGATAGGGAGTCAAATTAGGCTTGCGGTGTAATATGCAGCCTTGTGAAAGATGTTCTGCAAATGCACAGTACCAAATCTTTAGAGGTGCCTGAATCCATTTATTTATTTAAACTGCATGGTGGGCTGAGAAGGTGCAGGTGTATGGAGGAGAAGTGCAGGGTTTCAGCAGGTTATCTTTGGGACTGAAGGAAATGAGGTACATGTGTCTGTATTGGAGAGCTGGTTATTCTCTAGGGGTTCAATGTCATCTGCATGTTTAAAAAACACACTGAACACACAGGAAATCCCCACTATTTATTTTCATGTGACTCTGTTCTGATTAGTGGTGCTCCTTTATTCCTGTGTGCCTTTGGCAGAGCAGCTTATGTATTCCTACTGCTACAGGCTTGGATGAATTAAGTAGTAATTCAGATGCAGTGTAAGGACGACTTTGTGCACTTGATATCATTAAGATTTACATTGTGTGGGATATAAACTTCAAATATGTATAGAATGTTGATGATTGAGAAGTACATTTTGTTGCTCAGTGAAAGATACCCCTTGACAGGGGTTGCTTATGTAGTCACTGTGTGTTCAGACTTTGTTTATTTTACTCATTTTGCTATTGGTTTATTTGCTAAATACTTTATGTCTGTGTTCGGGGTTCTCCCTACTCAAATAAGTCTGATAGATAATAATTGAGTTTTAAAACTCAATGTAAGATTACAGTTATGACCATTTGAAGTTTGTAGACCATCTTCTCATAGAAAAATGTGTCAGTTACTTCCAGTCTTTTCAGTTTCTTTCTTTACTTTCTAGTCAGATAACATTTACCTGCTTAAAAACAGTAACCTGTAGGGTAATACAGGCTGGATAACAGATTTCATGGTGTTTCTCCCAGTAGCATGTTGAAAATCAGAAATGAAATTGTATGAAGTGAGTGGTATGAAGCACTGTTTAGTGTGTGTAATTGTGTAATAGTGCATGTAATTGTGTCTCAGAACAGCATGAAATAGCTGATTTAATCTATCGACATGCACCCTAAGGTTAACCTGTTGTTT